TAGAATTTATAATAAATAAAAATATTAATATATTTTATAATATCTAGAATTATATTAATTTAATTAAAAATATCTTAAGAAGCTATATATTTTTAATATTTAAATATATTTTAAATTTTTTATATATTTTAACTATAGATAAAAGTCTCTGATATTTAAAAATATTATAAAAAATCTTATCTAGATTTAATAATAATTTAAAAACTATTAATTATATATTAATTACTAAATTTTAATTAAAATAAAAAAAGAATATTTTTTTAAAGATAGTTTAATATTTATAATATTAATTAATATTATTATCTAGCTATATATTTTTTTTAAACTTTTTAAGCTTTAATATTAGATTCAGAATAATTATAATTATATAAATATAGTCTTCTATCTAATAAATATAATAATAATATTTTTAAAGCTTCTGATATATATTATATAAGTTTTTAAAAAAAAAATTTTTTAAAATATTTACTTTTTTTCTAGTCTGTTAATTAAATAATTTAGATAATTAAAAAAATTATTATAAATATTATAAATCTTATAAATAGTAGATTTACTATTTTTAAAAAAATAAAAAATAAAAAAAAAATATAAAAATTTAAGAAGATATTTTATCTATTTTTATTTAATTATAATAAAATAAAAATAATTAATATTAGTATACTTATAATATTAAATAAAACTTTTAATTATTTAATAAAGATTAAATATTTAATAAATTATAAAATAGATTAAGTTCTAGCAGGTTTTATAATTAAAAAATAATAATAAATTAAGCTCGATTTAAATTATTAAATAAATAAAAATTTTTTATAATATTAAAAATTTATATTTATAAATTATATAATCTTTTAAATTTATAATTAAAAATTAATATAATAAACTAGTTAATAGAAAATTTTTAGAAATTTTTTATAAAAAAAATTTTATCTTAATTCTTTATAGATAGCTTCTAGAATATATTTTTTTAAAAATTTTTAAAATATTAAAAAAAATTTTAAAACTTTTCTTATTATTTTTTTATATATATTTAATAATATTATTTAAAATCTTAATCTAAAGTTTCTATAGAAGAGTATTAATTATAAATTAAATTATATAAATAAAACAGAAAATATAATACTAGTTTTAAATAATTTTTAAAAAATTAGAATTAATTAGAATATTATAAAACTAAATACTCTGACTAAGTTAAGTTTAAAATTTAATTAAGATTATATTAAACATTATATTATTAATATTAATATTATTAATTATTATATTTAATAATTAATAAATAAGATTATATTTATATAAGACTAATAAAATAATTATAACTAGATTTTTATTAATATAAAATTTAAATATTAATTAAAAGTCTAGTAAAATCTTATAATAGTTTATATTTTTTATTAAGAAATATTTAATTAAATTAAAAAATATTTTTTAATTAAAACTAATTTAATAATTTATTATAATTAATATTTATTTAATATTCAGAAACTTTAATAATAGCTGTATATATATTTTTTAAATAGTTTTATAAAATATTTTTTAATTTATATTTAATTAAAAGAACTTAGTTTTTAATAAAAAATAAAATAATAAGATTAATTATCTATTTAAATTAAATATATTCAACAGTTTGAAATAATAGATAATAGATAATTATAAAATATAAAACTTAATTTTAAAAATTCTGTTTATTATAGATTATAGAGATCTAAAAAAAATAATAATTAAAAAAGATTTATTTTAAAAGAATAGATAAATATTTATAATAATTTTTTATTTAATATTTAATTAATTATTTATTTAGATATAATTAATAATAGTCTTTTCTTATAATTCTTGCAGAGATAATAATTTATAAAACTAGTTTTTAAGTTTTTAATTTCTAGATATTATAAAATATAAAAATATATAATATAATAGATATAAGAAATTTTATTAAAAAATAATATATTTTTTTAAAAATTATTTTATATTATTAATAACTTTTCTTAACTAAAATAAAATAATAATTTTTAAATTTATATATAATCTTTAGAAAAGATTATATTTTATTATTAATTCTAAAAAATAAAAAGCTTTTTTTAAAAAGCTGAATATAAAATAATTTTTTGATTTTTTATAATATATATAATCTTAAGATTTAAAAAAGAAGAAAAGATCTGATTTAAAAAGCTTATTTTAGTTTAAATATTATTATAATTTATAAAAATTTAAAAAATAAAAGAAAAAGATTTAATAATATTTTCTGAAAACAAATTAAATAATTATAATTAATTTATAATTCTGAAGTTATTCTATAAATAATAAATATAAAAAAATAAAAACAGAAAACTCTGTTTAATAAATATTAGATTAAAATAAAAACTTAATATAATAATAAAATAAAAATTAATCTCTGATTATAAATTTAATAATAGATCTAGTAAATAAAAATTTATATTTAAAATCTAAAATTATAAAATAATCTCTTTTTTTAAATAAAGCTGCTTAAGATATAATAGACTAGAATAAAAAATAAATATTTATAAAAAAAATTTATAAAAAACTTTTATAAAATTTTCTATAAAAGCTATAATATTATAATATAAATCTAATATATTTTATTTATTTTATTTATCTATTCTATCTATTTAATCTATTTAATTTATTTAATCTGCTTTATCTTAATAATCTAATTATTTATAATTTCTTTAATTATTTATTTATTTTTAATTTTATTAATAGCTCTTTGAGCTATATTTTATTTATAAATCTAAAAATAATCTAATCCAGAAGAAATAATAGAATAAAAATAATAAATTTATTTTTAATATTTTAATTAATAATTAATATATAGTTTTTCTAATATTCTATAATATAATTAAAATATATAACTAAAATAAAATAATAATTATATATTTTTATATATATTTCTTACTATAAAAATAATAATTTTATAAAAAGCTAAATTTTATTAATATAACTAGAATTTTCTTATTATTTTTAATAAATAATAATAAAAAAATATTAATTTCTTTTTTAATTATATTTTTTTAATTTAAAAAGCTTCTTTTTATATATTTTTAAATAATAATAAAAATAATTAGATTAATAATTATTTAATCTAGATATATCTTAATTATACTAGAGCTTAAAAAATATAGCAGATAAATCTTAATATTAAGAATAATTAAAATAATTAATTATCTAATTTTTAGCTATATTATAATTAAATATAAAAATTTTCTTAATCTAATTATAATCTAATGATTAGATATAAAAATTCTAATTAATCTGATCTGACCTGGCTGTTAGCCACTCTAAGTCAGATTAAGCCACTCTATTTTAAATAATAATTTTTAATTATTGGATAATTTATAATAATATCTATATATTATATAATTTAGAAGTAAATTATATAATTATTTAGTTTAGATTATACTTATTATTTAAATAATAATTATATACTTATTTTAATTTTTATAAAATATTTTAATTATTATCTAATTTTTTTAACTATTATTATAAACCTACCCTGGCTGTTAGCCACTCTAACCTCTACTACTCCATTGCACCAGGCAGACGCGGGACGCAGAATAAGGCGGTGACCAAGAGGGCCAATAAGCTAACCATAACACGTCGCTGGCGAGAAAGTACATAACAAGAAAAGTGCTTATCGAGTACGCATGTAAGATAGAAGGAGAATAAGAACAAGAAGAGCCAGGATAGATAATATTATAGAGCGTAATGTATTAGTTAGTAATTAGTTGATTAAGAAAGGAAGCAGGAGTGGTCATACCGCCATTAATGGTTTGGTCTCTGATCGCAGGTTTCTGCTGCCCCCCCCCCAAAATTACTAAACCAGAAGGCGGCCACATCTCCAATAATGTCCCCGGCGATACAGAGTAGATAAGACCGTACATTACTAGGTACTACTACTGTAAGGAAGGTGTAGCTACCTACTAGTACCCTGTAATAACATACAATAATACACCATACTGTGTACATACTGTGTAAGTACCTATCTAGGGGTGTACTAGTACCTTGTAGTGACAAGGGTTGCCTGGATAAAAAAAAGATGCCGATACCATGTCATGTCTAGAAAGTCTGGGCCTATTTACATCAATATACCAAGGCACGGATAGGTAGATAGACAATTGCCTGTAACTCCCGGTAACATCACATGACTGCATTTTCACAGGTTGCCACCACAGAGGTGAAACCTGGTCAATAACTAGGTAAGCTTTTAATCCTGTTCACTTCCACCTCCGAAAGTCATAGCTCCTACGTGAGCCTTGAATAAGCTACTGATTGCACAAGATTCTAATCATTCTCCTTGCTATGGTGCTCTGTATCAAGATACCTATGTATTGATCACTATACATACCTAGGTACCTGGCCTTGACACTGGTTAAACAAGCCTTGTTTGACTCCTATTCTCAAGCCTTTCCGCTTTCTTCTCTGCTTCTCAATTCTTTGTCCAGCCCCATTTAATCACCAACTTGTACTTGTCCAAAACTCAACATTGCTACTCCGTGCATGTTATAACCTACTCTTTACTCAAGGCTCCCACGGGTTTCCCTTTGTTGAGCTCGGTTACTCGCAGGTGTTGGCTAGAAATCTGGAAGCCTCCGACGCAATTTGATAGACTTTGCAAGGCCTGCGAATATTGATACAGACCACCCTTCACCCCTGCACAATCACAGAATTTGTCTGTATCCACCGGCCTCTACTTCGCTTTTTTTGTATGCAGTGGTTTTAACACTTACCTTGCTATCCAGCATTCAAGAAGCGTCTAGCCCAGTGAGTTCAAGCAACATCCTCGATAGATATTGGGCTTTCAATCTTGAAGAATTTTAAGACAGAAGCAAGGCCGCAATTCATAAACTGTCATATGCAATTTGCCAACCGTCTCGATTGTTGCTTGTTACAAATTGTCTGCCTTTGTTCTCGTGTATCTTTTGTGAAAGTGGCACCCCTCTATTGATCTAATTACATCCACAACATCGTTGGACGTGCAATTGAATACAATGTCATCCTCCGTTCACTTCAAGTTCAAGTCTCAAAAGGAGCCTTCAAGGGTAACTTTTGATGGCACCGGTATCTCTGTCTTCGAATTGAAACGAGAAATTATCAATCAGAGTAGGCTGGGCGATGGCACCGACTTCGAGCTATCTATCTACAACGAAGATACTGGAGAAGGTAAGTTGTTTTGCAAACTCATCTGATGTGCTTATGCCACGCCCTCTTATTTCCACTGGCGGTGGGGTCATTTTATGATCCGAGAGTAACAATGGATGTAATAACTGATCTTGCATTTGGAACAGAATACGATGATGACACCAGTATAATACCGCGTTCTACCTCCGTCATAGCTCGAAGACTACCAGCATCTCGCCCCGGAAAGGGTGGTGCTGCTCGATATGTTTCCGGGAAAATGCCAGTTAATGCGCGCAGCGTTCCCCGTAATGACCAGTCTTTATTAAATCGAAGCGTTTCCAATGCTAGCTATCCTGTGAGCAATGGAGTCTTAGAACTGAACAATGCCCAAACAGAAGAGGAGAAAATCAATGCATTGTTTAGCCTTCAAGCCAACCAATGGAAAGAACAGCAGCAGGAGATGGCGAAGTAAGTATATTTCTGTCCAGATCCAAGCGTACTACTGACCAGTCTTTCCCTGTTTGATAGCGCAACGCCTGTTCCATTCGGCCGCGGGAGAGGCAGGCCTATCAATGTACCCGACCACCCGCCTCCTCCAGGATACTTATGTTATCGTTGTCGAGAAAAAGGTAAGCTATCGTAAACCAACCCACAAAAGGTGAACTAACAGTTTATGTACAGGCCACTGGATACAAGCATGTCCTACAAATAATGACCCAAAGTTCGATGGTAAATACAGAGTGAAGCGATCAACTGGGATACCCCGTTCACTCCAAACTAAAGTTGAGAAGCCAGAGTCCCTCACTTTAGATGGCTCGCACGAAGATCCAAGAAACACCGGCGTTATGGTCAATGCTGATGGAGACTTTGTCATCGCCAAGCCAGACAAGGCGGCTTGGGAGTTATACCAAGAAAAGGCCAAGGCCTCTGCAGCGGCTGCAGCGGAAGCAGCAGCAGCAGAATACAGCAGAGACCTGCAAGCTCGTGGCTTAGAGTGTCCGATCGACAAACGAATGTTTTTAGAACCTACAAGAACACCTTGCTGTCAAAGGACCTACTGCAATGACTGCATTACTAATGCATTGATTGAGAGTGATTTTGTATGCCCTGGGTGCGGAACGGAAGGGGTACTGCTTGACAATCTTGCTATCGATGATCAAACTGTTGGCAAGGTTAAAGCCTATGAGACGGAAAAAGCAGATTTGAAGAAAGACAGGGAAAAGCAGCCAACGAGCCAAGATGATGGGAAAAAAAACTCAATAGGTAAAGGTTCCGTGTCTATAAAAGAGCCCCTGTCGCCAGTTTCGGCCAGTCAGCCTATCTCATCAAATAAAAGGCCTGCGGAGGAGACCCTTCACTCAAGCCCCAGCTCTCACTCAAAAAAGCTGAAAGGGGACGATAAATTTGATGCACGGAGCCAACTGCCCAACGAGTCGGCGCCTGGATTCCCACCGCTTCCTTTCGGCCAACAGATGTCTATGGGTGGCTTCGGATTTATGCAGAACCAACCCATGTCTGTAATGCCAATGCCCGATGCTGGGTTTGCCGGTGATAGAATGGGGTTTCTGAACGTTATGGGTGTACCTGCGGCTAACGGGTTTCCACCTAATTTGGACCAGGCATGGAATCCCATGGATGCTTTGAGTTTCAGTCATGCGCAAGGCGGAATGTATGGTGATAGTCTTAATGGATATGCTCCTCCAAACGTCTATCCTGGGGTTGGAGAGCCATCTATGAATATGTATCACATGCCCCAAATGGCGGGACTTCAGTCAAACCCTGGCTTTTCACAAGCGTCCGAGATGAGCCGCTTTTCAAACCAACAGCGCACTGCATTTAGCTCACCATTTGCCAGGGAAGAAGACACGGCGTACTTTCGGCAACCTGTTAATCCACAACGGCATCAAGCAAGACATCGGCGGATAAGGCCAAGTGATTACCGTGAGCTATGAATTTGCTATAGATAGTACTTTGTTGAGACCAATCTATTGTTATCACCCTTCGGACTCTTTGTCTACTGGATTCTGGCCGGGGCTTTTGTTCTTTAATTACCATCACTGTAAAGTATAGAATAACCATGTTGATAGCGGTTGTCTTCGAGATTTGTTATCTATGGCAAGTGTAGTAAGGTGCCATTGGTTTCACTGAAATCTAGAGTCCTAACTATTAACCCCTGGCTGAACATTATATATAATAATGGCAGCAATTAACCACTAGAGAAACTTTAGGTCCATCTGACAGTAATAAGGTACCTTAACATGGTATTCATTCTACTGATGCAAGATTGGGCTGCATCGGAGGAAATTACTGGGATTCAATTGATACTACGGAAAGCCAATTAACAGGTACCATCTCATACTGAGTAGGACTGGTACCAACCTAGTCTGGTGGGTGGTCAGTATATTAGAGGATCGGCTTTGAACCAACACCGTTTATTTATATAAATCTATCAGTTCCAATATGGGGGGCATGTATACCTACTCTGTAGAGTACTTGATATAAACAGCTTATCAGTGACGTGCTACACGCCTAACATACTGAATTATACCAAGTTAGTCTGTACAGTATGAAGAACCTGGATCATGAAAACAAGTGCAGATTTCTAAGTAAATAGATAGGTGTCAATATGCCTATCACGTGTGCGTTGTGTTTCTCAGGCGCCGAGGCCAGGATGGTCAGATGACATTACAGTTCCCGTGTTAACTATCACCCCTGGTAATTAATCATCTCTGTCGCCGGATTGATTCTGTTAGCCTTCAAGTTCCTTTCATACCACGCTCAAAGTGACATTGCTTTTTTGTATCGGGTCTCAGTACTTGTGAACATCACTTCTTCTGTCTTCGCCTATCAAGTTACTTGTCTTATTATATCTGCTGATATACCAGGAAAACAAGAACATACACTCAATACCTCGTTAGGATATTCATCATGGCAAAGTCCTTGAATCACAACAGTAGTACAAGAAATCAATTGCAACGTACCCTCGACAGAACTTCCCACTCCCAGACCAACGTACTCGCCAGTTGTTATAGCGTAAACGCCTTGACATCTATGATTGATGGCTTCCACTACTGCGCTACTACGGGGGCCGGTGAGATACTCTTAGTAACTATGAGCCTTCATCTTAGAACATGCTAATATTTGCATTGCTTAGGAGCACAGTGGTATCCCTGAGGTCCCTCTGGGGCCAAAATCATCATCAAGTCCTCCTTTTGATCTCTCCATCGCCCTAGGCGTGGAAACCAGTCGGCCGGGAAATTTTCTACCGGAACATAAAGAGGAGGCAGTGCATGCTATCCCGGGAGAGTGTGAGAGGCTCTTCTGTGACAATTTGTCTTCGATTTTCCTTGGTGAGAGGAGATCTTCTAGACAAGAGTTACTTGGGGTGGGTGTGTCTCAAAGCCGACCGGACAACGCTATGACCAACAATGTAACAATTGAAAAGTGGTTTGAGCTCTTGAATTACACCAACGACACTATCCATCGAGGATTTGTAACCAATTTGAGTGGCGAGCAAACTTTGTTTGTTTTCTTTGCAGAGAACACACTGGGTCATAGTCTAAAAACTGGGTATGTGTGTCAACTTGCCCATTGAGATATAGGTCCCATCCTGCGAACCTTGCTGACATGCTATCAATCTGCTGCCTCAAAGGTTGATCGCTCTCTTTGAACTTGCTCATATATCTGCTTTTGGGTGTTCCCAGATTGTTGCTTGCGTCCCCCGATCACATGATGCAGTCGACCTGGAAGCTATAAGAAACCTTGGCTGGTGTGGGTTTAATCTAACTACTTTGCAACGGTGGATTGTTAGGGGCGGACTTGACTGCTGTCTTAGTGCTAAGTGGCTTTTTTTAGATGCTGATGTTTAATAACTGGTGCTTAAAATAGGTTTTATGTAGCAAATGACTCTTTGTGCCATTACTCTACATCCTGAATGAGAGAAGAATAACTTATTGATATTGATACCTATAAAGTAATTGTTTTGCGCTACAACCTCCCCCCCCCCCCAAAACTCCCCCAAAAGGATTGATGCATAGCAATATATGAGCAGAGGAGGCTATTATATATTGTAGCTTTCTACTTCAGGGTGGCTGCTTGTGTACAGCACTCACGGCTGGCAGTCCAGCTTGTAACAGTGATTTAATTCTATAGCTTCATTCTATATGTATAGTAAGCGAAGGCTGGGAAAGAAGCTGGACCTTAATTTTGAAGATTACTAGATAGCTGGTTCTATTAGGCTCTCACGTGCAGCCAGGTTAATTAATTGGCTAGCTGTGTGAAGTGTCCGGCAGAGTCCTTACACTGGAGTGAAGCTCTGAGATTCCTGGGTGTGTTGATGGATGGTGCGAATATAAAAGCTTTAGTCTTTTCTTCCCTCGCCAATCACTGCGTGATTCTGCTAGGTATAAATAGATAGGGGGTCGAGGGTCTAGGAAGCGGCAGCTCTCAGTTCAATAATTCGTGAATGAACTTGCGAGAATTTCTCCATATAAACTACAGAGGCTGCAGTTTCACGCCGCTCACCTGAGACAACCCATATCGACACCGGCACCCAGAAGTAAAGGGTTGTCTACCACTACCTAGTAGTCTGCAGCACAGTACGGTTGTCGAACAAAACAAACCATTATAACAAAAAAAATACTTGTTAAGGACTGGTAGTTTATATGCATGAAATTATTAAGGTGAAGCACTTGTGTCACTCACTCGGGGCCTTTTTGTATCATTTCCTTCCACGTCTTGTTGTGCCGAACGTTTTGCTAGGGGCTCGCTCTTCTGGGATGACTGGCTGGCTGCAGGCTTTCTCTTGATAAAAGCAGATAAATCATTTGCCCCTTTAGTGACTGCATCAAGCCGAGCTTGTTGATCAGACGGGGCTTGCCCTACTATCTGACCCAGAATACCCTTCAACATAGTATCGTCTGCACCGTGAGTAGATACCGGTGGTCGTCGGAGGTCGATAAGCTGTCAATCATTGTAAGGGAAGAAGACATATCGGGCCATTAAAGCGGGGTGACTTACCCTTTGCTCCATATCTGCTATTATGTCCCTGACATTGATAATCTTTCTTTTCATTGCAGCGAACTTGTCTTCGTTTAGACAACCACCATCATCCAACTTCTGTTGCTCTTGATCCATCCTCAACCGGCAGCTCTCTATGGCTCTTTCCATTTGCAACGCAGCCTCTTTTCTCATTTCCTTGCCAACTTCCCCACGGTGATCATTGTTATCATGGGACTCGTCATTCTCACTATGGACCGAGCCAAATTCTAGGGCAAGTGAAAGCTTGTAGTGGCATTCAGCAACAGAGGGATCCTCTGTGGGGAACAGAGACTGCCTTAATTCAAGAGCAACTCTCAAGTCCGTCACCGCATCCAAGAATCTCTCAGCTTCCAATGAAATTTCAGCTTGTAAATCATATGTGTCGGCAAGACGCTCTTTGACATGTCTAATGTCAGAAGACAGCTCCGCATCTTTTTCTTTATCGACTTCCTCCTCAAGCGCAGTTGACCTTTTGTGATACAGTATTCGTGCCAAGTCAAGTACTTCGAAAGCATTGGCAAAGTCGTCATCGTCATCGGGAGTGACTTCCTCGTCATCCTCATCGTCAAGATCCGAGTCGTCGAAGTTTTCATCACCCGTGAACTGGAAATATGGCTTGTTTGAAACATCTGTAGGGTCTTTCTGCTGATTTTCTGATGCGTCTGTAGCTAGTCCATGGGAACCCGTACTCTGACCATTGTCATTCGCTGATCTTGATGGGGTGGAGGGTCTCTCGAGAGATGTCTTGCTCGGTTGTGCCTGGGACTCTCCGGCTACTTTTGATCCAAGAACATCGCTTTTGCTAACAGCAACATTGTACAGGGCTTTTCCGTAGGCGAATAGCAAGTCAGCATTGCCAAGCGCTAGTTCTCCGTTGAGTCTGGCCTGCAATTCTGTTGCCTCTGAATACAGCTCGGCGGCAGCGTTGAAGTCCCTAATGGCATCCTTTGCTGCCGCTTGCTTGATCAGTTCGTCCAAGGATGCTCGAGCGTCGCCACTGCTAGTTTCTGTAGATGTACGCGGATTCATCGTCTTACACAGCCCTGGTCAATGCTAAAAAGCAAGATCCCGAGGTTAAGAAAGAGTGCTGGTACCCTGACGAAGAATGTCTCAAAATGGAGGCGTGGAAAGAAGATAAAGGCTAGATACCAAGCACAATGATTGATTCAGTGCTTTGAAGAGTCGTATATGTGATGTTGGGCGTGGGCCAAGAGCAATGTATAGATAGGTTCTGCATAAGGTGCGGAGTACATATTATTAAAAAGAAGGGAGGGGGCTTGTCATCATGGTGTGTGGGTCAAATCGCGTGGACGACACGAACTCCGCTACCATCGGTACCAATTCACGCGTTCTGCTCTCCTCCACCCTCCAACTGCCCTGACCCCGAGACTCATATCCATCAAAGTAGGTTCTGGCCGGCTACTTAGCAAATATTGGGTAGACACTGATCAACAGGTAGAGCTAATCACTTGTCCCCGCATTTTATTCCAAGATTCACTCCAGGCGCCTGGGATCACGGACCATTGCGTCTCCTCTGGCTTAAGATTTTCTCTCTCTGCCTATTTAATAGGAACTGCGATATCGAGCGCGACAGTCAAGATTTCAATAGCAATGGTGGATTCAGATCCCGTCCCCTCATCATCTCCTGGATTTGGAACTCCCGCACACCCTCTCCGAAAGAGCAGGCTCAATGCGCTACCTACAAGGACATCGATCCTCCCTATATTACTTCCTTCCTCCACTCTTCGCCCTGTAGCCTTCCGTACATTCACGCGAAAGCACAACCTGACAATTTCGTCCTCTGCGCTTCAAACCCTGTCAACCTTCGTTGGAAAGAACTGTGGTTCGGGATGGCGCGAAGATGGGCTTGCCGAACGGGTACTTGACGAAGTGGCCAAGAGCTGGAAAAAGGCTGGCGGTGGCGTCATTGTCGATGAAGGTAAAGGAGCCTCATTGAGAGGAGTTTTACAAACCTTGGAGGGCAATATGAGTGGGGGGAGGGTTGTTTCCGGCATGCACAGCTCAGCGAATGAAGCTCCCTCGATAATGAAAACCACTGCTCAAGGAAATAGACATCCGAATAAGGAGCCACCATCGCGTGTTGTGGTAGCGCAACGAAGCTTGGATTCAATGGAGAAACCTGACGTGACTTTGCACCCGAGACATTGGATCAGGGTGATAGAGGCATTTGATATACCTCGAATTATTTATAATGCGGATAAGAAATACTTCGAAGTTGCGAGATCGAAACCTACCCTATTTCCACCCTCTTCCCAGAAGATCACGCTATTTAGAGACCGTTATAATGTTGTCCATCAACGTCTGCTTCGGCACGAGTCGTTCCACTCTTCATCAGGACCGTTAAGCGGAGGCTCGTTACGACAATATCTATCCTCGGCTGCAAACCAATGTTACCGACTCACGCCGATTGCAAATTTGCTCGGGAGGAATGGCACATCACATCTTATTCTTGGCCTACTTTCTCTGTCTCCAACAGGTGATCTCACACTGAGCGATCTGTCTGGAAGTATTGCCCTGGATCTCAGACATGCACGTTTGATACCTAAGGATGGTGCTTGGATTGCTCCGGGCATGTTTGTCCTTGTCGATGGGACTTATGAAGAAGAAGAAAATGTCAAGGGTTCCACACTCGGAGGCATCTCTGGTGTTGGCGGAGCCATAGGGGGGAAATTTGTCGGGGTTTCTATATGTGGCCCCCCGTGTGAGCGACGAGAAGCATCACTGGGTGTGGACAGCCAGCAAAGCAGCAGGGAAGTCAGTTCCAGTGGGGGCCTCGGATGGATTGACTTCCTGGGAGTTGGAAGTGAACGTGCACGCGGCCCACGCATGAGACAGATCGAGGCCCAATATATACGACATAGGCATGAAGACATGAAAGTCGGCCGCCGGTTAAGAATAGCCATCATGAGCGAGGTGAACCTTGACAATATGAGGACTTTGGATGCACTGAGGAAGGTCTTCAGCATCTACAATGATTTAGAATCGGAAGACCGCCCAATTGTTTTCGTTCTGATTGGAAATTTCATACAGAAAGCCATTATCAACAGCAGCGGCCAGGTGGGCAGCATCGAGTATAAAGAGTATTTTGATGCGCTGTCCTTAACATTGTCCGAATTTCCCTCGTTACTACAACATTCCACTTTTATTTTCGTTCCAGGCGACAATGATCCTTGGTCATCGGCTTTTTCTTCTGGCGCTGCATCTATAGTCCCACGTCACGCAATTCCTGAACTGTTTACCTCTAGAGTGAAACGTGCCTTCGCTATGGCGAACGCTCATTTGGATTCTACCCAGTCATCTGAACCCCCCGGGGAAGCAATTTGGACGTCAAACCCTTCACGTCTTACCCTATTTGGACCTATCCATGACATTGCTATATTCCGAGACGACATATCGAATCGATTGAGACGTAGCGCCGTGAGCTTTTCGCACGGTGTCGACGCGACAAAAGCTGAGAATACAACCCCTCCGAACAAAGACATTAGTCTTCCAGAAACAAATGAGCAGCCCGGTAATCAGCAAACAGACGGTTCCAGTTCGGCTTCATCTACTACTTCTTTTGCTCGAAAGCTTGTCAAGTCAATCCTAGATCAAGGGAATATGTCTCCTTTTCCACTTTCCTCGCGGCCTGTGCTATGGGATTATGTGTCTTCATTGCAACTGTATCCCTTGCCTACGGCACTTGTTTTGGCGGATCCGGAAGCAACACCGTTCTGTATCACTTATGAAGGCTGCCATGTGATAAATCCTGGGAGGCTTGTTCCAGAAGGTGAGATATCCTCTGTCAGATGGGTTGAATACGATGTCCTCAAGAATCGAGGGAGGGTGAAGCAGGAGCGCTTCTAGGTGGCTGGAATCCGTGGGACTGTGGGCCCCAACTCATGATGAAACGGGGAATACAGACAGGGCGGTACTGAGTAGAACTGTTGTCTGAACGTGACCATACACATGCCATGTGTAGGTAGACTATGTTCCTTGAGTGCAGCGATAGATATCCACACCTAGTTGCGCAAACTCCTTACACAATTCGCAATTGAAACATCGTGGCTATATTCACATCACACCGCATTTTTACTTCCTTTGTGAACATATGCGAAGAAGACAAGAATGTTGTCTGCTTGATTTCCTAGGCGTCGTACATAAAAAAATTTACTTTCAGAATTTGGAAGACTTACGAGGTATAACAACTGTTGTCATTTGAGTATACATTATACATGTGTTCAAATACTGCAGGGGAAAAAACGTCCCGGAACGTTGACGGGGAGTTTGAATGCAATTTGTCAGACAGGTAGATGATATTGATAGATATAAAGGAAACGTCTCCAAGGCCAAGCTCCCGTTTTCTAAAAGGAACCATTCTGACGAGAATCATCCCCAGCGACGGGGAAGCAGAACAGTCCAACTGACCCTTAGTCAATCATAATAATATCCTCTTTCTGTGTTCCAGTGTTGGCCCCAGACTGGGTATCCCTAGTGCCTGGAGCTGTTGCAAGTGAACTGCTGCGTACATCTTCAATGCTGCCAGTATGCCCAGGTCCTCCCGATGATGCCGATAGCCTCGGGTTGTTCGATTTACCAACTTTGGCTTCAGGAGTCTTCCGACCTTGGGAAGTGCCAAATCGCCTTTCAATTTCTCGCAGAAGATTTTCGATTGAGCCGGCTTCAGCAACAAGTCCATTCCCAAGTCCTCTCCAGCCATCACCTCGAGAGTTATACAGTGTTTCTTGAAGCTTATTTTTGATATTACCGTTGTTTATCATGTTGCCTTGGATGTTCACATCCTTGAGTACCCAAACAAAGCGATTTAAATGCGACGCAGCGACCAACTGAAACTTGAGATTCTCATCGGGGTAATGAATTTGGTACGACCTGGCGTTGCGCACAGTTACTTGCACTTTCAAACGCTCATTAGACGACGAGTTGGTCATTAACTGGTCCAAAGCTCGCATCAAAGGAAGTGTAAGCGACAGAATTTCAACGACGTTTTCTAACCCTGCATCAGTGGCAACGTGATTGAGACTGGATGCAAGAGACTCCTGGATCCGACGGTGAGGGCTATTGTGGCCGAATTGTATGCCTAGACGCAGATTGAATATTGACTCTGTTCTAGATGCGAGCCCGATAGGACTCAAATCCATGAGGGACTGAATCATAGACAGATCAATATTTAGGCTAGCCGAGAAATCCCTCTCTGGGCCATAAGTGAAAGATATGTTCGACAGTGAAAAAGTCCGGACCCCTATCTTTTTTCGTTGCAGAGATTCCAGGATTGAGAGCACGCATTCAAGTCTCTGCAGACTTTCAATGAGCTTGATGATAATGGGATGACCAGCCGGTGCAAGAAAACGTAACGCAAAGCCACTCCCCTTCCTTTGAAATACCAGTGATCGATCCCAATTCGAGACAGGTGCGCCAAAAGCACTTGCAGAGCTGGCCAAACTACCATAGGCAACCATTATGGCGACCTTTCTGCAGGGATCGATACCGTGGAAAGCAAGGCGAACAGTGTCTTTGATGTGACTCTTTCTCTTTGCCCTAACAGGCATGGCCAACTGAAAGGCAGTGGGAAGATTGGATGCATCGTATCGAATGAAGATATCGGGAACCCGAAGGTTTGGTTCAATCTTCAATTTGTGAAGTGGCGGGTAGAATTCGATAGATTGTAAATCCTCCAAAAAGTGAGCATTAGAATGAATGGCCAGAATTCCCGAAAGACAGTGCCCGAGGTCCGCAAGAGATGTGTAACTGATGTTGTGTTGTGAAGCAGGAAAGAATGTATGGCTGACAATTTGAGTGGTACGAAAAACAAGTTGGCCGTGCAAATTTGCATCAAGGACAGCATGGGCTTTTGCAAGTACTGTTGTTCCAAGTTGCACCACCCACCAGCTATCACCATCCATGCTGCTAGTCGCCGCCACAACCCAATTACGTTTCCAAAGATGGTGCCAAAAGAATGTGAAGCGTAAAGTATTTGGCGGAAAGATTTTTCGGACATCAGACTTCCATGCTCGCGAATTCAGCGGTTCAAATCCTAGCATTTTCAGATTGGATTCAATTTCCTCTATAGCTGCACTGCAACGAAGTCGTGCAACACGGGCGACTATGTCATCAACAAAGGACTTATCAGGATTGCGATCACCATCAAACCGCTCCAAAGCATTCGAGGTGACTGACAAAATACTCATTCCGGACATCGGCTCAACAGATACTCGAAGATATCTCGTTTTTGTGAGCTGGACATCGAGTAAACAATCGCCCGGTTCAGTGCTGTTTAACTGGGCACGCAATGATAATAGGCCGGCGGAAAAGAGCGAGCTGTGTCTTATGTTGCTATATGCCGAAGAAAGGATCTGGGAGACGTGTAAAGCAATGGTACTTCGAAGGACGCGCTCCATCGAAAGATATTCCTCATCAAAATTGATATCTTCACATGGAACTTCTTCTCCATCTCTTATCCAGCGTAAGCCCAAAAAAGGGAGACCGACTCTTCCACTGTCTGACCCTGGACCACCGCGTTTAATTCCAATCTCAAGCCAACTTTTGGCGCCAGGCTTTGGTGTCCAGTATTGTATAACTAGGGTCCGGTGTAATAGTTCGACTCGCAAAACATCCGTCCATGGGCCTCTTGCCAATTCCATAGCTTGCTTGAAGAGTATGCTCACTTTATTAGTCAAAACCAAGCCATGCAATAGATTGAAACACCCAACCAAGCCGTTATTTTGAAGCACGTCATTTATTGTCCTTTCAAGCTCGTTCAGGATTCGACCATCTGGGACTGGTGGCGAAGGAAAGAAAAGGAAATGAATGTCAACAAAAAAAAACTGCGAGGCTTCATCTTCTTCACCAACAGAAAGGTCGAGTTCAAATTCGCCGGGAACAATAAAGGTCACTCGGCCGTCATGTACGCGGTAAGTTTGAAAAGAACAAGGTATCTCTTCTTGGACCGCAAGTCGCACACCGATTATTCTGTTAAGTTTCTGTAACTTCCTGAGGGTTCCCCTCGCCTTCAGGGGCTTGGGGGGGCGGTATCCGAGCTGAAGTAGAGACAAACAGGGAAATTAGAAGAAGGCTCAAGGGGCCAAGTAAAGACGAAGCTTACATCGGACATTGATGCTACCCTGCCCTTTGACAGGACTTCCAGTGCTGTATTTAGATCGGGATTGGCCACCTGGGCTTGGACAAGATCTCTTTTCATATCCCCAATACATTGGAGCGCCCCCATGTATGCTTGATGATGGGTGCGAATGAAATTCTGAATGTCAATCAACTTACTGACGTCAGCTGCTTGTCGGCTCCATTGAGCAAGAACAAGAAGTTTGATAAACTCTGCCCTTTTGGCATGAGAGAATTCTAAAATTCGCACTTTCTTCTGTATATTCTCAGAAGACTGGTTTCCTGTAGATTTTCCATTGGCCGGAATCGGCAAAGAATGAAGTTCATGAGAATTCACCCTGATCTCGGCCAATTCGGTAATTAGGTCGGATAGATCGTTCCAGCATTGCTGTACAGATCTGCGAACTAATTTTGAAAATGGAAAAAAGCCCTGCATTATGTGCGGTAACTCGGGCGGCTCCATTAGTCCCCATGACATACGATTGATTGAGGTAAGCCCAACGGCTCCATGGTGACCAGTATTCCTATCCACCCCATCAACAGAAAGTGAACCATTTTCTGAGTCGGTGATACCATTTAATCGGATAGCCTCTCCCACTGAATATATACCATGTTGCGAATCGTGGTTCCCTGATCCGTGTCTGTGTCCACCAGTATTGGCATCGTCCATGACGACTCCCGGCATGTTCCGTACATAAACTTGCTGTATCGTCACAAGTTCTCCCCTCCTTTACCCCTCACGCAGCACAAATCGAGGGGCCTGGCGCAGGGTTTGTTTTTGGTTTCGGAGGAGCCAGTACCAGGGTAGGAAGGAAAGCTGGCTCTGCGCAGTTGTAGACGGATCGGAGATTTCAGTATAATGCCATTTATGTATCACCCAGGGCGCAAAATCCGATACCAGTTTTAATCCCAATGGCCCTATTAACACACCGAGAAGATATAAAAGCCAGTTGAATAAGAGAAAGGCCAGGCTCGTGTTCTCCTGGTTTCCAAGAATATGTTGAATTGAATGACAAGCTAGCGTATTAGCCTGACAGGTGCGCACAATCAACATACAAGCCTTGGAAGGCACATTTTCTGGTGATACTGGAAAAGTGAGGGGGGGTTTAACAGTCTGGGACAGTTGACTTAAAACCTTGGAGGTGATAAAAGGCAAGAGCCGAGCATTTCAGGTGATTGGGTTAAGAAACAATGGTTAATAAGAGAGTAGTATGGTAGTGTACTAGGGTGGAGGTAATAAGATTGGATGTAAAGGTGCCTGGTGGTGTGTCTGAGTATCCGAGGGTACATATAACTGAGATGAGGCCTGGGTGAGGTGATGCAAGGCCAGCCTCCATAGCCACTAAGATTCAGTGTCCACCTTACTAATAATCAGTTAATAACTAACTATAACTAGTAGGTGGTTGCAGATCAGGTATGTTGGTTTTTAGTGTTGTGTGGAACAAAAACTGCTTAATAAGTATTTTGATTATCTAATTTTTATATAATCTCTTTTTTACACTGATTGAAATATTTATTTTATATTATCTCTTTTATAACTCTTATATATAATTATTACTATTACTAATTATAAATTACACTCTTTCTCTATATCTGTAATTATAATTTAAATACTCAAAAATATAAATAAAATTATTGATTAAAAGTTTTTTTATTATTTATATATTTTATCATTTTAAAATAAGTTTTAAGTAAATTTTAGATAAAAAATTAATAAAATTTTAATAAATTAGTTTTAATATTAGTAATATATGTATATAAGATTTAGATCAGATATCTAAAAAATATTAATATATAATAAAGTAAGTATTTAGCTATTTTTTAACTATTTATTAAATATCTATTAATTACTTAGAATTCTAATAGAAAAGTTATTATTAAAGATAAAAAGATTTTTTATTATTATTCTGATTATAGTAAAAATAAGATAAATATTTTTTTATTTTTTAATAAATACTTTTCTAACTACTTTATATTGTTTATAACTGCTTTAAAAATATTTTTTAAGTATTAATAATCTAAAGTCTTATATATACTCTTGTAAAAGTCTAAATATAGATAAAAAATAAAAAATATATAAATTAGAAAATAATAAATAAAATAGTTAATAGATATTTATTAAATATTTATTAATTACTTCAACTAATATACGAGATTTTTTAACACTAAAAAATCTCTACATATTCTGAATATTTTTAATAATATTAAAATACTATTAAAATATTATTAATTTAATTATTAATTTAATTATAAATTCTTTTACTAAAAGTAGAAGATTAAATATATTTTTAATTAATTTTTATTTTTATTAAATAAAGTTCAAAAAATAAGTTTCAATTATTTTTTAATTATTTATTAAGTATTTACTAATAAATTAGTTATTGTTCTTAAATATATATTAATTTATCTCTCAACTTAAGAATTCTTAGAGTGGCTTAACCTGACTGTTATATCTTAATAGTTAATCTTAATCTGGTCATAATCTGATAATTAGATTAAGATATAAAAAAGTTTTAACTATATAATTAAGATTAGATTAAGATATAATTATTATTATAATTATTTATATCTGCTGATTAAAAAGATTAGATATAATAAATAAATTAATAATTATAGATTAATTTATAATATATATATTCTTTTTATATAGATAATATATAAAGTATAATATATTTTTAATTATAATATAAATATAATAATATTTTTTAGATATAGTCTATTACTTAATCTATTTAATTAATTATTTTAAAAAATATATTATACTCTAGAAAAGACTTTTATAAAATCTAATATAAAAAGAATAAGAAAAAATATAAAATATTAAATTTAAAATATAATTATTTAATTAATTAATCTGATTAATTTAATTAAATCTAATTAAAATAAAAAATATTTTTTAATTAAGACTAATTCAGTAGTCTATTATAATTAATATTTATTTAATATTTAGAAACTTTAATAGCTGCTGTGTATATATCTTTTTAAATAATTTTATAAGATATTTTTTAATTTATATTTAATTAAAAAAACTTAATTTTTAGCAGAAAAATAAAATAGTAAGATTAATTATTTATTTAAATTAAATATATTCAATAATTCAGAATAATAGATAATAAATAATTATAAAATATAGAACTTAATTCTGAAAATTCTGTTTATTATAAATTATAAAGATTTAGAGAAAGATAATAATTAAAAAAGATTTATTTTAGAAGAATAAATAAATATTTATAATAAATCTTTATTTAATATCTAATTAATTATTTATTTAAATATAATTAATAATAATTTCTTCTTATAATTCTTATAGAGATAATAATTTATAAAACTAGTTTCTAAGTTTTCAATTTAAAAAGATATAAGTAGAAAATTTTATAAAAATAATTTATTTTATTTTAAAATATAATTTTATATAAATATAATTTATTATATTTTAATATACAGCTAATATACTTACTATATTTTATTTATTTTAATAAATTTAATAAACAGAAATTTATATCTAAAGCCCAGAGTTATAAAATAATTTTTTTTTAAATAAAATTACTTAAAATATAATAAATTAAAATAAAAAATAAATTTTTATAAAAAAATTTTATAAAAAACTTTTATAAAAATTTTTATAAAAGCTATAATATATAGTATAAATCTAGTATATTTTATTTATTCTATTTATTTATTTTATTTATTTAATTTATTTAATTTATTTAATTTATTTAATTTATTTAATCTATTTAATTTATTTAATCTATTTTATTTTAATAATCTAACTATTCTTTTTAACTACTCTATATATAATTTATAATTTATTTTTAATTTTATTAATAATTTTTTAAGCTATATTTTATTTATAAATCTAAGAATAATCTGATTCAGAAGAAATAATAAAATAAAAATAATATATTTATTCTTAATATTCTAATTAATAATTATCATATAATTTTTCTAATATTTTATAATATAATTAAAATATACAGCTAAAATAGAGTAATAATTATATATTTTTATATATATTTTTTATTTTAAGAATAATAATTTTATAAAAAACTGAATTTTATTAATATAACTAGAATTTTCTTATTATTCTTAATAAATAATAATAAAGAAAATACTAATTTCTTTTTTAATTATATTTTTTTAATTTAAAAAGCTTCTTTTTATATACTTTTAAATAATAATAAAAATAATTAAATTAATAATTATTTAATCTAAATATATCTTAATTATACTAAAGCTTAAAAAGATATAGTAGATAAATCTTAATATTAAAAATAATTAAAATAATTAATTATCTAGTTTTTAACTATATTATAATTAGATATAAAAATTTTCTTAATCTAATTATAATCTGGTGATTAGATATAAAAATTCTAATTAATCTGACCTGACCTGGCTGTTAGCCACTCTAAGAATTCTATATTTTATAAAAATTATAATAATAAGAAAAATTATTATTTTAATATTTGGAAGTATATTAATTTTATATTTTTTGATTTATAAAGATTTATATTTTACTATTATTAATAATATTACTAAGAATAATCTTTATAATACTAATATAATTTTATTATTTTAAAAATACTTGATAAATATTTTAAAACTGTTTAAATATTTAAAAAACATAAATTTAAAATATATACCTAGCAAATATAAGAATATTTTGATAATTAAAAAGTATTTTTTAAGTACTTAAAAAAAGTAATTTTTAAATGTATAAGAATTTTAGAATAAATAGTAATTAGAACAAGGACTTGGCCTGATAATGGCCTAGGATTTAGTCTTTTGATTGACTTGATCTCAGCCCAACAAATCACTCAATTACTTCTGTATAACTTTATATATTAATTACATATAGTTTTATATATGGCTTGTTTCTGTCTAATTCTATATATATATAACCCAGCTGCTTTTATAGTGGTATTATAGAATCAGATCTTTATTATTTTATCTTTCTAGCTACTATTTAGATTATCAGGATTAATAGTTATTTTTTTTCTAATTAAATAATTATAAGATCATACAGATAGCAGAGTTAATAAGAATAATTAAAATATTAAGATTATTATATAACTAAAGAAAATAGATTAAAAATATTAAATTAATAGTCAGAATTGGGCTTGTTATTACCCGCTTGTCAGCTCGGGATTTACTTAGCCCGGCTTGCCAAGAGAATCTGCTCAAGCAAGTGAATAGATTTAATAGATAGATTTAAATTTTTTGAATCTAGTTTAATTAAATTAATAAGCTTAATTCAAATTAAATAAACTAGATTTTATAAATTTAGATTTTATCTTTTAGTTTAATATATTTATATTATATAAATAAATTATATATAATTATAAAAATAAATTATATATAATTATAAAATTTTAAAATTAATAGATCTATTTATTCTTTATAGTTTATAAAAAAAAATTAATTTTAAATAAAAAATATAAATTATACAGAAAGTATATATAATTAATTATAAATTAAATATATATAAAAATAAGATATAATTTCTTTTAATTATAATAAAAATCTAGATAAATAAATCTTTATTATATTTTGTGATAGGATCTACTTGTCAGGGTAGAAAGCCTGTCGACTAGGTAAGGAATTAATCATGAAACACCGTGTATTTGTTTGATAATGACAAAGATAGTCTATATTCACAAGATAGACTAATTCTTAAAGAATCAGTAGCTTCTTACAGAGGGATTGATATTTTATAAATGCCGGAGAGATGTAGAACTACTATTAATAATCTCACGACTCTTATAATCACTATAATATATTATTCCGATGATATAACTCTTATAACTACTATAATATATT